TGGCCTGTTTTACCCAGGCCCAACGTCCTTCTGGATCTGCGCAGCTGTCTATTATATCCACTTCCAGCTTTTTATCTAATAAAATAGCCACCCCTCCTCTAGACCCCATTGTTGGGGCCCAGACTTGGTGACCAGGCCACCATCTGCAAACATCTTCTAGTTTATCTGGACCAATTTTGATCTCCTGCAGACAGATAACATGGACATGGTGTGAACACAGCCAGTTAGCCACCCTAGCTCTTTTATGAGTATCATTGAGGTCACATAAGCCACGAACGTTCCAACTAACAAGTCGGACTTTATTGGGTAGAGTCATTATTAGTGGCTGATCCGTTGGACTGTTGGATGCGGTCCACATTTGCCTCATCTGACCCTGGCTGGTCTGTTTTTGAAGTCCTTCGCTCACCTATTTCAAAGTTCAAGTTCTTCCCCGCCCTCCTTTTCAGGAGGGAGGCAGCGAAAGACTCCGATGAAAGCAAGGAGGCAGTATCTGATTGAGCTATCCATTCAGCTATAACTCGAGCAGTCAAACCAGACAACAACCTTACACCTGCCAGAGTGTTTGACTGTGCCACCATGAGATGGGCCAGTTCTATCTACTAAATCTTCAGATCATCCCATTTTTATTTGTTATCAGTCATATGTGTCATCTCCATAAAAGCAATCAAAAGGCGGGCTATGCCCCCTTCGGTACATTTACAAAATAGCGTGCCATTTTTAGTTCTAGCAGCAAGCTTGCCTCTCCCAAGTTTTGTAAGGTCTGTACCTTTACCAGATTACAGACCATCACAGGGGAGGGTGTGCTACGTAATAGAATGGCTGGGAGGGACAAGGTTTCATCTTTGCTCTTCAAGGTGGGGAACTGCAACCCCTGTCCGTCATGCGAACAGATGATTGGGATCAGATAATCAGAAGTTTGTCCCAAAGTCTTCTCTTTCCTCATCAAAGTCCTCACCGGTGTAACCAAGGAGAGTGAACGTCGAGCAGTTTTGGTCATTTGAGCTCTACCTCTTTTCATAGGAGAGCTCATGGCCACCTCTTCTGTGCAAACCCCGATTTCTTCCTCCTCCTGTCTGGCTAAAAAAATTAAACCTTCGATACGGGGCCTCTTCGCAGAGGACAAGTTCACTACATCCCTCGGAAGACTTTTTTTCGATCCTTCGGGTAGTGGAGTAGAGGGGGACAGGCCAGCAAAGGGGTTGCCTACTCGTGCTGTGTCTATCCTCCATTCTTTACCACTTTTCCAGATTTCTTCAGTCGCTTTTCTCAGATTTCCCCGAGGCCCCTGCCGCGGAGTAGAAGACTGGAGAGCCTTCCCTCTCTTCGTCCGAATCCTCGCCTGAACTGGGCAGAGGGGTTTGAGACTCCGTTGGTATGAGAACTGTGCTACTGTTAATGACCAACGAGTTAAATTTAAGTCCCTGGGCAGTCGTCAGTTCCCCCTCAGGAGTTCCCCTATTAAACAACTTATTATCATAGACCGAGCAACCTTTTGGGGTATCCTTTGTTAAGGAGGTGAGAGTCCTAGCAGCCCGTTCAGTCGTGTCAGAAACCTGTGGGGCCGAGCTCTGTAATTCTGCCTTTTGCAATGCGTCAAGATTTTCGACAGGCTTCGGAGACCCCTCAGTTTCGACTTCGGTCAGTGGGAGTCCTTGGTCCCCCCCATCCCCTCGTTCCACCTGCGTAGGGGTTGCTTCCAACAAATTGCCTGGGTTGACCGGATCACCTGAAGGTGAAGTAGAAACCTCCGAGGTTTGTTTTTTTCCTTGTTCTGTTTCCACTTCCTGATCCAACAACCGAGACTTGGAGACTCTTCATTCGTTCTGAGATTTCTTTTTCTTCCCTTTCTTCCCCACTACCTTTTTCTTCTTGTTAGTGGGCTTCTTACTCATTATGGATTTCATGGGACGGTTTTGACCTCCTTCCTCACTCCCACCCCCAATCCCACCCTTACTTACACCTTCTGGGGATATGGCTCCTCCATCTGCCATGGTTGTGTCTACATCATCTCCCTTCTCCTTTCCCCCATCTTTTTCTTCAGACTTCTCTGCAGCCTCCCTCTCCTTGGCCCCATAGGAGTCTAAGGGAGCGGGTTGCTTCTCAACGTTTTCATCCCTTTCCTTCTCGCCAACCTCGGTGCTTTTATCCCCTTCCGGTTGTCCCCCGTTCTTTTCCGGATTCTTGCTACCTCGATTGTCCTTTTTTCCGAAGTCTGATTTCGACTTCGGCAAGCTCCTGTTCGCTTTTGTGTCAGTACCCTGATCCTTGCCCTTGTTCTGCAGAGGAACCGTGCTCTTTTTGACCGGGCAACACTCGTCCCCCTCTGTGTGGAAATTTTGTCAGCATGCTTGACACCAAGGGGTTTGGGCATGAGCGACCTCGATTTCCACATAACCCCCCTTCTGCAAATCAATAATTAGGTACGGTTTGTACCGAAGTCTGGCTTGCGCTTCCAGATCAAATTTAACGTTAATCAGTTCCGGAGCGTTTTTGTCCGCAAAGGTTTCATACTTCCTCAAAATTGGACCAAACGCCTTCTTCACAGCAGATGCCAAGTGTGGCAGGGCAGCAACGGGGACGTACATACACCTAATCCAAAAATACTTGAATCTCATGGCCTCACGCCACTCAAATAGCTCATTCTCTGACATCCAGGGTTTGAAGGATAGGGTGTATTTTTTCCCATCTAAGATAATTTCGTCTTCCTTTTTCCTAAGCAACCAGGTTGCAATTTCTTTCGATGAGGCTACATAAGTAATCAGACCGTAACCCTCATTATGGAACACTCCACGTTTTGGTGGAGCGCTAATTGCTCCACTCTTCGCCCACACCATTTTCGTGCATACGAATCAAGCGCACTTTGACCGAGATTGACAGTGATTTCGACTCCTTCCAAAAAATAACCGAAACAACGTTTTCTTTGAGCCACTCTTCCTCAATTGCATAGACTTCTGGGTTGACTACCACCTTCACGAAGTCATCCCCTATTTCCACACTTTCAGGGTTGAGGTGTTTCTAGGAGGAAACCCCCTTGGTAACAATCAGACAACAGTTTCTTGATTCGATTCTTGTCTGTTCCCCCACCATTAGAAGGGGGGGCGACTGCGGGAGGTTCCATTTGATCTACGGGATGACAACGAATAAAAAAACAAACCAAAGTCAAAACCAAACCAAGACAAGCGTACTTAACACAACCGAAAATAGAAAATAGAACATATAATAGAGGCCTCGATTAACGGGATAGGTCATATCATTCCCACACCCACTCCAAGGCAAAAAGGCCACGGCATCCGACCTGCATCACTCGATATTGCCGGTTTCGACCTGTATGCTGCCTCCACAACTCGCTACAGAAGATGGTCTTCTGCTCCATAAGCTATGATAGACAGCACCTGACAAACCGCCACAGCCATCCCGTCACAACCCAGGTTTTCGCCATGCAGGTGTCCCAGGTATCGCTATGTCGATATGAGCATGGTAACTCCGAGGGCATGGCAACGCTAGTTCCGGCCCTAACCGTGCTTACCTAGCCCCGTGCTTCCTTTCCGCACGGATGGATAAATCTAGAGGGTGCGTTTGCCTACCTCTAGAGCTCGGCAAACACACCCTCTAGATTTACCCATCCCGTGCGGAAAGGAAGCACGCGGAGGTAGGCAGAGTGGAAACAAAAATGCTTCCGTTTGCCGCGAGAAGTGGAGTCCCAAAAAATGGGCCTCGCTGCACTACTTTCGAAATGTGCAAAAAGAGAGTGAATATTCTGCTAGATTATGGAAAGATACACCGGCATGATTTTTGTCTTTTGTGCATGTCGAGAGTAGTGCAGCGAGGCCCAATACGCTTGCCGCCAGCAGTGGGCTCCTACCCTTAGTTTTCTTTTTTTTAATAAAAAAGCTATATTCTTCTCTCATCTATCTCATTTTTCTTGCTAGTACTCATCTATCTCATCCTCTCATTAGTGTGTGTAGTACGGGGGAACACCAACCAACCCGGATCTCTCCCCAGCCCACGGGGTAGGTTGGCACCACAGCAGTGGTGCGAGAGCAAGGCTGTAGCGAGAGCAAGGCTGTACCAGTCCCTCATCACAGGGGTGGGCAGGCCATGGGGAAATCGGCGGTGCTAGCGCCGAGCAATGGCCAGTCACTGCACCTCCCCCTACCCCCCCCCAAACCCCACATGGCGGTGTCTAATGGCCAATATTGTAGCTGCATAGCAACCAACAACATCAACCAAGGTCCTGCCATTGCTGGCTTGGGGGGCCAACGGGTTATCTCTAGCTGGTAGAACACCAAGCTTGCTCAGGCACGTACGTGAGGCCGATGGGGATTGAACCCACGCCCTCCTGAATGCAACTTCTGTGCCTTACCAACTGAGCTAGGCCTTTCCTTTCCTTTTTGGTTTTCCATTTGTTTTCCGTTTTTCTTTTTTCCCGTGCCCAACCGCGCCGTATTTGTTTTTCAATTTCAAGCTGGGAATCGTACGGGTGGTGTTATCCCAGATTGTGTGAAAACTGCAAGCCCGAATTACTGGAGCACGGTATCCCCATCCCTTCGTCAAGGTGATATTTTCAGGAAGTCCCCGCAGAAGGGTCCAGATCTTGTTCCATTGGAATGCCGAACCGGACAAACTATTCCACTGTTTAATCACCCGCCGCCAAATCCTAGGACGCTCATTGTACAGCCTGCGGGGCGGGATGGACTTCCACGGCTTGTCTCGGCTGTGCGCGCTTTCACATCTCCGCTGCAACTGGTCCGTACAACCGAATCGAATCTCGCAAAGCTCCTGTGAGGGGTAGCGCGATGCTACCCACCGGCAGTCTCCCACGTTTCTCCCCGCTCAGATTGCCAGCTCGGATCCGGTTTGATCACGAACCACTTTTTTCGATCGGTTTGTGCGTGCGTGTGCATTCTCACGCAGGGAGGGTCTTGTTGAGGCACGTCGTGGGCTGGGCGCGGCGCGCAGAGTCGGACATATCCAACGAGCGCGGCGGATGCCGACAAGAGCGGCTACACCCCGCCCCCGTTTCCATGACAGTTGGAGGGAGAAGAGAGCGAAATTTTCGTAGTGTACCTGCTGTTGAGCTCAGTCGTCCGAGCCGTCGACGGAAAAAAATTGCCTGGATTACGTCGATGAACTGAGTCAACTGACGAACGAAATCGGAGGGAAAAAGATCGTATCGTAGTAAGCCGCGTCTGCGGACAAGTGTGGCGGGAAGGTTTCGAAAAATTCTTCACTTCCCCCCCCCCGCCCCGCCCCCCCGCCAAAAAAAGAGAGTGAACACTGTGCGCAGAGGAGGATTATTACGTAGTAGCCGAGTTTTTTGCTGACGGGGGTGTTACCGAATCGGCGCCACGTCGTCGACGGGCTGCTGCTGCTGCTGCTGCTGAATGGACTCCTCCTGTGCAGACCTGCGTGCGACGGGGCACTCCACATCGTCTCTTGTGTGATCTTCTTCGTCTGTGGTGGGGATCGGTCTTGGTTGCTTCCCTTCCACATTCTATTCCTGCCTTTTCTAAGGTAGGGCCTTCCCTTCTCTCTTCTCTTTCTTTCTTCCTCTCTTTTCCCTGGGGCTGCCCTTCTCTCTTCTTTCTCTTTCTTCCTCTCTTTTTCCTGTGTGTAATCTCGTTTCCCCGAGGATGTTTCGACGAGGCTGTCACGAACTGCTTCGACCCGAATTGCTCCGATGGCGGCGGCGTCGGCCGGGGCAAGGTTTTCACTGGCGATCCTGCACTTGGACGGAGCAGGTTGCCGCCGCCGACAATGCCACGTCATCTTCCGCTAGATTGACACGTCGACTTCGTCTGGCAGCCGCAGTACCTTTCACGATCGTTCGACGCATTTCCACTGCATCGCGGGGCGAGGGTAAAGGTATTCTTGGCGCTGATTGCGGGATCGTAGTGGGCTCGGAATCGCCAGCAGGAGCAGCTGACACGTGGCCAATCGCGCGGCAGATGTTGTCGTCCACGTCAGCTTCTGTTGCTGCGGAGACCACGTCAGCATCTGTTGTGGCTAAAGAGACAGCGGGGGAAGCGACGTCCGTGCCGTCGGGATCGCCGCCTTCTGCGGCAGCGAGAGAAACGATGGCGACCTCGGCTGAAACATCATCGCAAACGACCGCTTCCCCCGAGGACTCTGCCGACGCTACCGGTAGTAGTAAAGGCGGGGGGGGGTTCTTCAGATTTCTCAAGATAGGCATTGGACTGACGGCGGGAACTGCATGTACGGCAGCAGGATACGCCACGTACGGTAATCAATTTCGGCCTCCTTCCTCTCTCCTCTCCTCGCTCTCCTCGTCTTCGTTTCGATTTCGCTGTGGCCTGCTTTATCAGTCTTCTCCTTCTCATCATCCCCCTTTGTTTTCCCTCCCTCTTCTTTCGCTTCCGGAGTCTCCTCCCTTTCTCTCCCTGGTCCCCTCCCTTCCTCCCCTCCATGTTTCTTCTTGGTCCCTCTCTTGTGAGAGTTCTCTCTCTACTCCCGCTTTTGTGATCCCTGTCTGCACACTCGTTTACGTACTTCGCCTTCTCTATCGTGCGGTTTGGCGTTCCGTTGTTGCCGCCCCCCTCTCCCCCCCCTTGCTTCTCG